CTGTGAAATATGGAATCAGTGGACACACCAAGGCCGATTGCCTTTTTCAGGATGGGTGGGCTACATCCAATCCAAAACAGAACCAAACAGAACCAAAAGACTGAGGAAGGAAAACTTCTGCCTGTCTTGGAGCTGTGGGTCTTTGGTCTTCTCCTGCCCACACATTCACACTTGGACTGGATCTTACACCATCAGCACCCCTGTAAAGCAAAAATCCTGCCAAAATTGATTAGCATAGTCAGGTGATCAGCAAGGTGACAGTTAATGGGAAAAAGGCCTCGCTTAGGCATGTCTACCCTTCCTACCGCCTGCTCCAGGATCTTGTTCTACCAGGTAGCACCACCAGCAGTTTACAGTCTATCTGTCCCAGATTCCCACCTCCTCCTGAGCTGACAACTTCAAGTTCTCTAAACATACAGAGCAAGTCCATTGCTTTAGTTCTGACCCCTGTGGCCACATATATTTAAAAAGTACACATATGCAATGGTAACAAAGTCCCAATATGTTCCCCTCACTGTTAATTGCTGCCTACACAATTGCTTATTCATTCAACAAACATCTACTGAGTAAACGCCTTGGAAGACCAAGATAAAGTGCAGAACCTAAGTGGTGAGGCTCAGTCCATGAATCTCCACTCCTCTTTCACATCCTGGCTCGCCACCTGTGTGCAAGCTGTTCTCTCTGCCTGGTGTGTGCCTCCCCACCCTCAGTGTGTTTCCATGACTTACACTCAACTCCAACATCACCTCCTCGACTGGCCCAGCCAGGCTGGATGGCCTCCTTCCTGGTCCCCCATGCTATCTATACTTACGCCACAGAGAACTGAAAGCAGTCCCAAAGAAAGGGAGAAAGGAAGCTCAGAGAAGACCACATTGTTTTTGGTGTAGCTTTTTAGGTTCAGAGATTTGATTCTCTTAATGCTATGTCTGGATGTTTGTGCCCCCCCTCCCCCCAAGTTCATATTCTGAAATCCCACCCCCAAGGCGATGGATGTATCAGGAGGTGGGGTCTCTGGGAGATAATTAGGTCCTGTTGGAATTCCAGCCTCCTGAATTATGCTTATAATTTATGTTCGTAAGACACCCAGGCATGGTACCATGCTGCAGCAGCCCAAATGGGCTAAGACAGTCCTCCAGGGTCCCCCATGTTGCAACATATGACAGCATAATATTCCATGGCATGTTAATACCACACTTTCTTTCCCCATTCATCTGTCCATGAACACTTAGGTTGCTTCTACACCCTAGCTGTTGTAATTGTGCCTACACAGGTAGGCAAATAAGTCTTAAAGATCATGGTTTTAATTACTTTGGAGCATATCCAGAAGTGGAATTGTTGGATCCTGTTGTACTCTATTTTTAATTTTTTGGCGACTCTCCATACTGCTTTTCATAGCAGCCGCACTGTTTCACAATCTCCGTAAACACGGAAGGGTTCCTGTCTCTTCACACCACTAATCCTTGCTAAATAATGACCAGTCTAATGTGTGAAGTAATAACTCATTGCAGCTTTGATTTGCTATCCATTTCTGATTTGCATTTCATTTGCTTGTGGGTCATTTGCATGTCTTTATCGGAAATATGTCAATTCATTTGCCTTTTGGATTTGATGGTGCTGTTGGCAACCCAGGGCCTCACCCATGCCAGAGAAGCCTTCTATTATCAAGCTTCAGTGCTAGTCCCTTTCCCATTTTTTGAGGGTTATTTTTGGTTATCGAATTGCAGTTCTCTATATAGTCTGGATACTAACCCTTTGTCAGATAAATGACTTACAAATACCTTCTCCCACCCTGTACATTTTCCTTTCAGTCTGTGGTCTCCTTGCCTATGCAGAAGTTTTCTGGTTGATGTGGTCCCATCTATCTATTTTGTAGCCTGTGCCTTTGGTATCACATCCAAGAAATCATGGCCATTCCAATATCATGAAATGTTTCTCTGCAGTTTTCTTCTAGTTTTGCAGTTTTAATCCTTGGGTGTAGGTCTTTGGACCATGTTAAGTTACTTTTGATTGGGTATAGGTTGAGAGTCTATCTTCATTCTTCCACATTCTAATTCATTCTTCCACTTCTAATTTTTCCAATCCATTTGTTGGGGAGACTCTCCATTCCCATTGCGTGTGTTGCAGTTCATTTGACCATAAATTTAAGAGTTTATTTCTGGGTTCTCTGTTCTGTTCATTGGTCAATGCCTGTCTTTATGTCAGTTCCATACTGCTTCAATTACTGTTGCTCTGTAACATGTTTTCAAATCAGGACATATGAGGCCTCCAGCTCTGATTTTATGAAGACTGTTTTGTGTTAAAGATACTTTGAGATTCAATATCTCAAAAATACCCAACAAAAACAGGGCTGGTGGAGTGGCTCAATTGGTAGAGCACCTGCCTAGCAAGCGTGAGGCCCTGAGTTCAAACCCCAGGACTGCAAAAAAAAAAAAAAAGTAAAATAAAATGAAGTAACTGAGCCATGAGTGCTTCATATGAATGGACTAATGCTGTTATCAAAGCTATCTTTGTCTGCACTAGTATACAAGCCCTGTGTTAGTCAGCTTTGCTTTGCTGCGACAAAATACTGGAGATGATCAGTTCAGAGAGAAAAGATTTTGGCTCATGGTTTCAGAGGGTTCAGTCCATGGTCACTTGGCTCCATTATTTTGGGCTCTGTGGCAAGGGAGAACATCATGGCAGAAGCACACGGTGGAATAAAACTGATCTCTTTGTGGTAACCAGGAAGCAAAGAGAGAGGGGAAGGATCCAGGGTTCCAACAGCTCCTTCAAGAGCACCCACGTGCCCAATAGTCTAACTTCTATCCACTAGCTCCTAACTCCTAAATGTTCCACTTCCTCCCAAGCCCCGCAGGCTGGTGACCAAGCCCTATGTGGGCCTTTGCAGGACATGTAAGGTTCAAACAGTAACAAGATTCTCCCTCTGACCCAAGCTGCAGGATCCACCAGTCTTGCTGCCATGAGGACCATGCTTCTGTTAGAGAATCCTCAGTGTACTGCACCATGTCATACTGGATCTGTCTCTTTCTTTAGCATGTCAACACCTTCTGTTTATGGTTTTCGGTTCTTTTACACCAGATTTTCCCTGAATACTGGGATTCTGTTACAGCAGAAGACAGGTTCTTTTTTACTTTTCTTAGTCTCATTTTGTTCATGTATTTTCTGATCTTGTTTAGCTGTCTATGTGTAATTCTAGATCATTGTTTCTTTAAGACAATTGTTTTGAATTCTTTGACAAGTAATTTATGGATCTCTGTTTATTGGGAATTGTTTTAAAATTTATTTTGTTCCTTTGATTGGGCCATATTTTTTTCATGTGCTTTTGGTTTTTGCATTTGGTAAACAGGCATCTCTCTCAATCTTCACATATTGGCTCTCTAGAGGAGGGAACTTCATTAGCCAGTTCCGCTAGATTCTGGGGTACTCTTAAATGGTTTTTGTTGGATTCAACTTCTCTGATTTGTGTGTTACTTCCCAATTAGATTTGTTGGTTTCTTTTGCTGATTATAATCTCTTGCTCCCCCTGGTGTCTATTTCAAGTACTGTTGGTTCACTGCTGCTACAGCAGCAAGCTGCCTTTGTTCTGTGACTCCCAGGCATCCAACACATGCCAGCTTCCCACATATTCCCAATCAGTTCCAGAATTATGGGACTCACATTCCTCTCCGGAGGGAGAAGCTACAAATTGTGTGATTTCTCCTGGTTGTGCCGTCACAGTAGTCTCTCGTTGCAGGCATGCAGGCCCTCTAGTGCCACAAGCTTCCCTTACTTAACCTTGTTTGCAGGAGCCTCCAGGTAACCAAACTGTGGCAGTTCCATCAAATAATCAAGTCAGGTAAGACCAGTGTCTTGGATAGACTCTTGAAAAGCTGGGATGATTTAGATACATACATGTTCCACACTTTTCTTTCCCACCCCAAGAAGCTGTAAGCTGGGTGACTTCTTCCAATAATGCTCAGGTGTGTCACCTTGGGTGAGGGGCAATCACAGGTAAGGTGAAATGACCCTTCTTAACCATTCCAGTGTGGCTGTTCCTATGGTATACTGCAACTTGACTGATTTTTGGGATTCTGGCCCAAATGTTGTTAAATTGGCATCTCTGGGATGCTGAGCCTGGGATTTCCAATTCTGTCAGTTTTGTTGAGGTCAACAACCACTTAGTATTTCAACCAAAAGGGAAAGAGGCTATAGAATCCAGGTTTGCACATCAAAAGGAACTTTACAGAGTGCTATAGAGTGGGGTGTATCCTTTAATATTGTATGCACTTGATTTATAGATGAGAAGGCCAAGGCAGAGGCAGCACAGTAAATCACAGATCATGATAACAGATCATGTGTAGACAATGACTGGCATGTAGTAAGTAACAAAAACATTTGCTTTTATACCAAAATTCTTTTGAGATGGGAAAATTAGCTTGAGTGATTGGGGTGGGTCCAATATAATCACAAAGTTCCTTATAAGTGAAGGAGAAAGATTTAAAGATGCTGAGCTGCTGGCTTTGAAGATTGGAGGAAAAGGACATGAACCATGCATGTGGCACCCTTCAGAAGGTGGAAGTAGGCAGAAAATGGATTCTCCCCTGTGGCACCCAGAAGAGCCCTACCATCACCTGAATTTTAGCCTTGCAAGTGAACTTCTGATTTTGAGAACTGAAAATAAACTGTTGTTTTATGCCACAAAGTTTGTAATAATTCATTACAGAAGAAATAGGAAGCCGGGAGCTGGTGGCTTAAGCCTATAATCCTAACTAATCAGGAGGCATAGATCAAGAGGATCGTGATTTGAAGCCAGCCCAGGCAAACAGTTCATGAGACACTATCTTAAAAATACTCAATACAAAAAAAGGACTGGCAGAGCGGCTCAAGTGATAGAGCGCCTGCCTAGCAAGCATGAAGCTGAGTTCAAACCCCAGTATCTCAAAAAAAAAGAAAAAAAAAAAAAAGTAGGAAGCTCATACAGTCTAATAAAGCTAATGTAGAAAGATACTTTTCAGACAGAATTACTTATGAAATAAAATTTTATTGTACAAAATTTACATTAATCATTTGTCACATATAATGGAAAAGCATGGCAAGAAATCTTTGTTAATCCTTTCTTTGTTTCAGATATTCTGTGAAGAGTATTTCCTAATATATTCTCAGATAGTATAATTTTTTATATTGAATATTTAGCAATTGTGTTGGTATAAAGTGTCTTGGGACGTAAGGTATAAAACTGGAAACAGGTCAAAAAAGTGCAGGGGGAAGACCACTGCCAAAGAGCAATCTCCAAGAGCTTGGGATTTTCCATGGCAAGGCAGCTGCTGCAGTGTCATCACTCTGTAACCGAGGAACAAAACAGTTTAATCTTTCATTTTACCAGTAAGTCTCCCTTTTGATTGTGACACTTAGTGAGGTTCTATTGCTAGGAAAAGAAATAATTTTCTACATCTTCTTGTCAAATGAAGATAAATTTCCTTAAGTTGATATACCAGAATGGCTACAGATGGAATCTATTAAGTAAAATCAAATTCAAAAGGAAGAGAGGTTAAAAAAAATAAATGAGTAAGTCCAAGGTGACTTGCAACAATTTTTTTCTTAAGCAAAAGCACAAATTAAAAAACCAGTTGCCAATCAGGCGCTGGTGGCTCACGCCTGTAATCCTAGCCACTCAGGAGGCAGAGATCACGAGGATCATGATTCAAAGCCAACCAGGCAAATAATTCATGAGACCCTCTCTTGAAAAAACCCATTACATAAAAGAGCTGGTGGACTGGCTCAAGGTGTAGGCAATGAGGTCAAACCCCAGGCCGCAAAAAACAAAACAAATAAACAAACAAAACCTGTTGCCCATCACATAAAGCTTCGTTATGCCTAAAGGCTAACTCATTTCCTTGTATATAATATGCTCATTTCACAGCAGGAAAAAAAATCTTGATTATAATCCGTATTCAATACTTAACAGTGTTGCTTACATATCAATACTTTTTTGCTTTCCTAAAATAATACTGAATTACACAGAATACTTATTTATTCTTTTAGGAATTTGTCTGCTATAATTAAGGTAAGGTAACATGAATAATAAACATAATGAAGAATATAGGATTTTCCTGTCTGGAAAATCAGCCTTAATAAAACATCTGTCTTTTCTTATTTTCAAAAGTTTAGCTTAAAACTAAATTTTATGTAAAGATATGTCTATATTTAACATCAACTTTCACTTATTTGGTTTACTTATATAGTAGGTACCATGCGAGTTAATGAACACAAAACCAGACAAATCAGAGGCATACAACTACAATCACTTACACGTGGCTTGATTATCTGCAGCCATTCATTAAGATACTCGACGAGACCTAATGCATCTGGGATATTATCCCCTTCTGAAACAAACTTCAGCAGAACTGCCATTTGGATTTCTTTGGAACAGCTACAGGAAATAAAGAGCACAATTGAGCATTCTTCCCCTGATAGAAGATGCTGACTTAATGTCAGTTTTTATGAGTAAATTAACCTGTCTGGTTTTTGGCAAGAAAAGACATCACATCACAAGACCACTTGTCTTCCACTGCCTCACAAATATTCAATTTGTGGGACTACTACCAGGAGCCACATAACATCCACCTAAGGAATGTGTAAGTTTGTGTCTCAACCGAAGGCTGCATAAAAAGTCATCCTTTTTTTCCTTGGCTCTGGCACATGAGGTACATTGTGATCTTCTCCCTAAACCCACTTTAGAAGAAGGTGATTTTCAGAAGTATCATACCAAAGAGACTAAAGAAAATAGCATCCCTCTTATTAATAACCTAAAACAGTGAAGGAAAACTGGAAGAGAATGGAATGGTTAAAGAAAGTTTATTCCTTCTTATAGACACCATTTACTGAGTGATTATTACATGCTAAGCAATGTCTGCAAATTTTTGGGATTTGCACTCAGGGCAGGTGCTTTACTACTTGAGCCACATTCCCAGTACCCCACAAAATCTTTACTGAATATTTAATTGTGCCGAACACAATATAGGTTTGGCTACAGATTAGTAAAAGATTTGCTTTTGAAAATTAGAAGAAAATTATGTATGAACTTTTTTTCTTTTGGTAGTACTGAAGTTTGAACTCAGGGTCTTACACTTGCTAGGCAGGCACTGTACCACTTGAGCTACACACTAGTCCTTTTCTGCTTTCGTTATTCTTCATGTAGGGTTTTGTGGTTTTGTCTGGGGCCAACCTCAGATTATAGTCCTCATACCTACAGCCTACCATGTGGCTGGGATCACAATTGTGCCCTACCATTCCCCTTTCTTGATTTAGATGGGATCTTACTAACTTTTTGCTTGGGCTGGCCTAGAATGACAATCCTTCCAATCTCCACCTCCTGAGTAGCTGAGATTACTGGAGTGAACCACTGTGCCTGGATGAAATTTTCTTTAATAGGATAAACTCTAACCAGCATTACAAATATTAGAATTATACAAATGTGAGAATATATGTTATTGATAAATATATTTGGTTCAATTATAAAGAAGTTTGGAAGAAAACAGGTTAAAAACTAAGGCGTTATTCTGGGTGACAGAACTATTTTAAATATTGTTTCTTTAGACTCTTTTGCATTTTTCAAATGTTCTATACTGAGTATGCCTTGTTTTTAAGGTTTCTTATTTATTGTTGCTGACCTCATGGAGTCTCACTCTGCAAGCAGAGCTGAGAATTTAATCCCTGCTCTTGTGAGCAGACCCCTCCTCTCTGGCTGTATACCTGAATTTTCAGTTGCCTCAGACTCTGTCAGCCTCATCCCCTCAGCCAGCAGACCTGCTGTGCTGTAACTCAGAGGGTACCTGTAAACAGACAGCTTGGACAATGTAGGACTTTTAAAATTTGTAGTCCAAGACCGCATTCAAGTGCTGCTTGTTATTCATTGCCTGAAAAACACTGTTTTTTGTTTTGTTTTGTTGTCAAGGTTCCAGTTTTCTAAGGCAGAAAAGCAAGTCTGATAACAGTACTCTGTCATGGTCAGAAGACAAGAGTGGGAAACTGGTAAGAGGCAAGGGGTGGAGTGCAGTGGAAGTAAAAGGAGAGGAGAGTATTTCTTGTGCAGAGGCAGCAAACAAGCAAAGGATGCAGAGGAGAGATGAGGTGAGAACTGACTCTTGGAAACTAGGTAGGTTTTTACAAGAGGGGTAAGAGGAGAAAAGTAGAGGGAACAAAAGAAAAACTGAATGAGACACCTTCCAGCCAGGCAAGGAGATCCTGGAGAGCCTTGGATAGTCTATTAAGAAGGTAAAATTACCAATGGACTTTAGTCAGGGACTGTTGTGACCACTTTCTGGTCACAGAGGGAGCTCAGAGCAGGTCAGGATGGAAATATGATAGTGAGTAAAGAGACTTTGGTAGCAGATGCTGTGAACTGAATTGTGTCTCCTGACCCTCCAAAATTCATATATTGTGACTGTGTATGTTAGGATCTTTAGAGGGTAAACAAGATTAAATGAGTTCATAAAAGTGGGGCCATAATCCAGTAAAACTGTGGTCTTAAAGAGAGAAAGCGACTGCTTTTCTTTCTCTGCTATGTGAGCACACAGTGAGAAGGGAATTATAGCATAAAGCAAGTACCATTAATTAGTCCCTAACTTAGCTTCAGGTTACATGAAACAGGAAGCAAAGGGATAAGGCAAGTCCAACAGGAATAGCATAGTGTCTACAAATATGATGACAGACCTAGCAGGAACATGTAAATCGATTTATAAAAAGGTTTGAAAGTAATATAAAGTAATAACTTTCTAGTTTCTGTCTCTACTTTTGTCATTTGTCTTCTTAATACTTATAACTCATAAGGACTAACTAATGACTAAGAATGACTGTAGCGGATTTAAAGACAAATACATAAAAATAATTATTAACCTATATTACTGGAGATATAATATAGAAAGTTGTCATTCATGACAATGCCATATAATGGGGAAGATAGTGCTGTGAGAGTTGGGTTTTTGTACGCAATTGAAGGTAAGGTGGTATTCATTCAGATTAGATTGTTATAACTTTATTATAATTACCAAGGTAACGACAAAGAAAATATCTATAGAATATACACAAGAAAATTGAAAAAGAATCAAAATGTGTCACTACAAAATATCAAGTAACACAAAAGATAATGTAAACAGATTAGACTCTAATCAAACGACAGACAGGTGGATATTTAAAACAATACAACTATAGGCTGCCTAGAAGATTCATTTATCACCTTTTTTATTATTTTATTTTCTTTGATGGTACTGGGGTTTGAACTCAGGGCTTCACACTTGCTAGGCAGATGCTCTTACCACTTGAGCCACTCCACCATCCCTGTTTTGTAGTAGGTTTTTTTGAGATAGGGTCTCGCAAACTATTTACCCAGGGCTGGCTTCAAACTGTGATCCTCCTGATCTCTGCCTCTTGAGTAGTTAGGATTAGATGTGAGCCACTGGCGACCGGTTGAAGACTCACTTTACACACACACAGGTTAGAAGAGAAAGATGGAAAAAGGTGCATACAGTAATCAAAAGACAGCAAGGATGGCTATACTAATGTCATACAAAATATACTGTAAATAAAAAATTGTTCAAAGAGACAAGGAAGAACATTATGTATTAATGAAAGGTCAATTAATCAAGAAAATATAACAATATTTTATATAGAGTATTTTATATTCTATATAAAAATATTCTATATAAAATATTTTATATTATACATAAAATAGCCAAGCTCTAAAATATATAAAGAAACATTGATAGAAATAAAAGGAGAAATATAGTTCTACAATAACATACCTCAATATGCTATGTGCAATAATGTATAGAACCAGACAAAAGATGAGTAAGGAAACAGAAAACTTGAATATGACATACCAATTAGACATGTACAAAACACTCCACTCAACAAAAATAGAATATACATTTTTATCAAGTACACACGGAACATTCTTCAAGGGGCCATATACTGGGCCACAAAACAAGTCATCATAAATTAGAAAGATTGAAATAGTACAAAGTATCTTTTACTTCAATAGTAGCAGAAGGAAAAATGGAAAATTCAAATATGTGGAAATTAAGCAACACCTGCTTAAATAACCAACATGTTACATTAGAAATCACAAGCCCAGGCAGTGATGGCTCACGCCTGTAATCCTAGCTACTCAGGAGGCAGAGATCAGGAGTATTGCGGTTCAAAGCCATCCCTGAGCAAAGAATTACTGAAACTCTATCTCAAAAGTACCCAACACAAAAAAGAGTTGGTGGAGTGGTAAGCAGTAGAGAGCCTGCCTAGCAAGCATGAGGGCCTGAATTCAAACCTCAGTATCACAAAAAAAAAAAAAAAAAAAAAGCCACAAAAAAACCCCACAAGGAAATTAGAGAATACTTAAGAGATAGATTAAAAATGATAATGCAATGCATCAAAAATTCTGGCAGGCAGTGTTAAGAAGGAAATTTATAGCTATAAATTGCATATATTAAAAAAGAAGACCTGAAATGGATGGAATTGGAGAACATCATTCTGAGTGAGGTTAGCCTGGCTCAAAAGACCAAAAATCGTATGTTCTCCCTCATATGTGGACATTAGATCAAGGGCAAACACAACAATGGGATTGGACTATGAGCACATGATAAAAGCGAGAGCACACAAGGGAGGGGTGAGGATAGGTAAGACACCTAAAAAACTAGCTAGCATTCGTTGCCCTTAATGCAGAGAAACTAAAGCAGATACCTTAAAGCAACTGAGGCCAATAGGAAAAGGGGACCAGGAACTAGAGAAAAGGTTAGATCAAAAAGAATTAACCTAGAAGGTAACACCCACGCACAGGAAATCAATGTGAGTCAATGCCCTGTATAGCTATCCTTATCTCAACCAGCAAAACCCCTTGTTCCTTCCTATTATTGCTTATACTCTCTCTACAACAAAATTAGAGATAAGGGCAAAATAGTTTCTGCTGGGTATTGAGGGGGGGAGTGGGAGGGGGTGGAGTGGGTGGTAAGGGAGGGGGTGGGGGCAGGGGGGAGAAATGAACCAAGCCTTGTATGCACATATGAATAATAAAAGAAAAATGAAAAAAAAAAAAAAAAAAAAGAAGACCTGGACATGGGGGCACGAGCCTGCTGTAATCACAGCTCGAGAGGCTGAGGCAGGAGGAGCAAGGTCACCTGGGTCATATAGTAAAGACCCTGTCTCAAAAAAAACCAAAAAACAGAGAAATTTCCTTGCTCCCCCTGCCCCAAGGTCCTTTGCCCCACATGTCCCCTTTTCAAATAGCCAATCATGAAGATTGTGAACTCAAACTTGTCCAATCAGGGTAAGGGGCAGACTTCTACTAGAGATAAAAACCAGGTGAATTTTCCACTTGGTGTTGCTTGCTAACTGGACTCTTTGTCTGTGGCACACCCTTCTGCAGAAGTAACTTGTGCCTTGCCTAGTGACTTCTAAGTTGTGCCATCTCTCTCATGACACCCCAAAATCCCAAATCTATTTCTAACAAGGCTAGCATGGGCTACACAGCAAGACCATGTCTCCAAAAAAAAGAAAAAAGTTGCCAGGCACCAGTGGTTCATGCCTGTAAGCCTAGTTATTTGGGGCCTGAGATCGGGAGTATCATGGCTTGAGGCCAGTCCAGGCAATAGTTCTCCAGACTCCATCTTCAAAATAGCCAAAGCAAAACGGACTGGAGGTGTGGCTTGAGTGGTAGGGCGCCTGCTTTACAAGAACGGCTTTTCTTTCTGGTAAAGATCAACCAAACTGACAAATCTTCAGCTAAATTGACTAAGAACAAAATAGAAAAGACTCAGATTACTAAAATCAGAAATGAACGTGGGGGCATTACTATGAATTTTATAGAAATGGGAGAATTTTCTATGTAAGATGACAAAAAGTTTTGGAAGACAGTGGTGATGGATGTGTGCAGTGTGATTATACTTAAAGCCATGTAATTGTATCCTTTAAATGGTTAAGATGGGGGTTGGGACATGGCCCAAGTGGAAGAGCACCTGCCTAGTAAGCATGACACTCTGAGTTCAAACCCCAGTACTGTCCCCCCACCCCCATGCAAAAAAAAGGTTAAAATGGTAAATTCATATTGTGTATATTTTATTCAATTTTTGAAAAGGTACACATGGCTTTCAGAAACCAATTCTACAGCCAAATTTAAATCTTTCCCTGAAGGCCAGATCTCTAATATTGTATCTGTTTCATAAGTATACTTTCGAAGTTCCAATAAATATCCTTTCTAATCATTATTATTTTTCGAGTAAAAGTTTTGCTATGTTGCCCAGGCTGGTCTCAAACTCCTGGACGAAGGTTATCCTCCTGCCAGGCATCCTGAATACTGGGGTACAGCACAAGTTGAGCCACTGTGCCCGGTGATAATTTCTTTTTTCTTTTGAGACAGGGTCTTGCGATGTATCCCATGCTATTAATTTCATGTTTAAATAAAGTAAGAAACAAACAGTCAAGCAAACTCACCTTTCATCATAGAGTGCTTTTGTGATACCTCCTCCTGGAATACGGATACAAACTTCAGAATCATTCATTTCAGGAATACATGGACTTTTCTCCATTTCTTGCCAGTTAAGGCTCTTTATTTTGTTTTGAACACTCTTTTGCATAGAAGGTGTAAGTAGGTACCGGAAGGGAGTACTGAAACAATCATATAATCACCTCTTTAAAAATTCACAAATATGAAAACTAAACAAACACCAGTTTTCTTATTAAAATTATCTAGGAGTCCTTGTATTCTGTTGCATAATACAAAATACAAGTTTCAGCAGATTATGGAAAAGTAACTGATGCAAAAAATTCACTCTAGCTTGTTATTTGCATACTTAGCACAGAGTGTAAAGAGAGAGAGGAAAACTTAAACCAAGGCAAAATTACTATAAAAATAAACCTATTTCCTATGGCCAGGCTCCTTTCTGCCAGGGTGTCTATAATGTCTAGTGTGACATTCTTAGAAATTAGCTTTTTCTTTCTTTCTTTTTTTTTTGTGGTACTTTTTGTTGTTGTTGTTGTTGAACTCAGGGTACTCTGCCTCCAGGCCTAATAAGCTCATTTTAAAAGGCAACTATGGGCTTGTTATTTCTCACCTCGATTTTATGGGTGCATAAATGATACAATCTGTAAGTTTGTAAAAGTTACCATCTGAATGAATTTAAAAGTCAGATCTTTGCATATCAGAGTATTCCATAGAACATCTTTTCAACTTTATGCGTAATGATGAAATATACAGGTTAATATTTGTATTGCTGGGGTATTTTATCTTATATTTAAGAATTTAGGGGCTGAAGTGTAGCTAAAGTGGTAGTGTGCTTGCCTAGCAAGCATGAGGCCAACAGTTCAAACCCTAGTACCCCCAAAAAAAGTTCATCTCTGTCATGCACATGATGGCAAACACTAGCGGCATGATTCCAAAACTCTTCCTACCAAACCCTTCCTCGAGTCCAGGTATACTAATCTCGTGGGAACTAAAAGGATCTACCTAATTACATTTCTCTTCTCTCTTAACTTTCTTTGACCTTCCTCTATCTAGACCCCACTGTACATGGCTTTGGAATTTATTTTAACTTTTCAATAGGGAAATTGATCATCTAATAAACCATGACAAAGGCAAGTACCAACCTGCGAATCTGTAGATCATTGCGCTGATAGGAATGACTGCTTGAAAGAACAATAACCCTGGCACAGCTACTGCTCCTCACCCAGGAAAGCAACATTTCACAGAAGGACTTGGATTTATACTTCATATGCCATTGAGATAGTAAAAAGAAAATGCAAACGTGAGCTCTTAGGGTAACAGGATAATAAAATTAATATATTTTATTAATCTTATATGATAATGATATATAATTTGCACACATTAAAATTACTAGTACTGGAGCAGGGGGGGCATAAGGGGGAAGGATGGTGGGGACGATCTAACCAATGTACAATATAAGCCTATTGGGAATTGTCACAATGAATCCCCCCATACAAGGAATATATCCTTGTGAAAATTTTAAAAAACAAGTTAAAATGACTAGTATTATCAGATATACTTAATGTTTTTAGAATGAAAATAAAAAATGAAGAGCAATGAGTCTTTACAATTATGAAACAAATTGTGAGAAATCTAGATTTCAAAAACATTCTACTTTAAGGAAAATCTCCTCTCTACTTCAATAATCACTGCTACTTAATAATCACCATACAGTCATTTATGAGGTGTCCTTGGCAGAAATTTGACTGGAATCTGATCACAAGGAACTACCCAGATGAATGCAGAATGACACCTGGCCTCAATTCCTCAAAAGACTTAATACTCTGCCTGGGAGCTGGTGGTTCATGCCTGTAATCCTAGGTTCTTGGGAGACTGAGATCAGGAGGATTGCTATTTGAGGCTAGCCTGGGCAAACAGTTCACAAGACCCCATCTCCAAAATAGAGCAAAATGATGGTTTGAGTGGTAGAGTGCCTGCTTTGCAAGTGCAAACCCAAGTTCAAACACACACACACACACACACACACACACACACACACACACACGAGAGCAGTATAGCACAGTGGTTAAGAGAGGTTCTGGAGGGAGGCAGATTCAAGTCAGGCTATCTGGGTTACAGTACAAATTCTACCTCCTAAAGAACGTGTGTCTCAGGCAAACTGCTTATCCTTTCCGGGCTTCAGTGTTCTCATTTGAAAAATGAGGACAGTGTTAGTACCTGCCTCATAGGATTGTTGTCATGATCAAGTAGAACAATAAGTACAAAGTGCTTAGAATAGTATCACTGCAAAAAATCAATACTCAGTAAATTCTTGCTACTTTTAAATCATTATTTCCATCTATCAAAATTTATTTTATAAGTATGTGAATGGCCTATCTTAATTTAAAAAATGACACTGATTAGGAAAAGAACCAAAAACCAAGTGGTACAAGGTAAATGTTTTGGTAGCTCTTCATGCAAAACTTGGGTAATAATCTTGTTAACTAATGAAAGAAGAGATTCTAATATAAATGTTAGAAATAACCTGATGCAGTGGTTCACACCTATAATCCTAGCTACTTGGGAGGTAGAGATCGGGAGGATCACAGTTTGAGGCTACCTGGACAAAAAGTTTATCCTAACCAATAGCTAGGCATTATGACATGCACCTGTCATCCCAACTACATAGGAAGTATAAATAGGAGGATTGCAGTCTAGGCAGGCTGGAGCATAAAGTGAGATCCTATCTCAAAAACAGCCAAAAAAAAAAAAATGGCTGGAGTCATGGCTCTTGTGGTAGAGGGCCTGCCCAGCAAGCATGGGGCCCTGAGTTCAAACCCCAGTACTGCAAAACCAAAAAATATGCATAAATATAATCACAGCAGCACTATTCACGATGGCCTCAAACTGGAAAAGCAAATGCAGCATCAGCAGCACAATCGATCATCACGGTTTACTTGTTCCATAGGATGCCACACAGAAGAGAGAATTAACAAATGATTGTTACTGCCAACAATATGAGGCTGGGGTTTGACTCAGGGCTTCACACTTGCAAAGCAGGCACTCTACCACTTAAGCCACATCTCCAGTCCCTGGTAACAGTATGAATATTACAGATGGACTGTCACATCCCTGAAGTCAGCCTGCTGTAAGATGTCAGCTGTAATAATGATCATAGCACCATAATGGGGCCTTTGGAAGGTTGATAATATTCTGCTTCCTGATCTGGAAGCTGATATCAGAGTTTACTTTGCAAAAACTCATTAGACTGTGTATGTGTGAGTTGTGCACTTTTCCCATGTATATTGTATTTCAGTAAAAGTTTAAACAAATACTAAGTGGTTAACCTTGCCACTAAAATCCCATTATTTCTAGCTGGGTGTGGTGGCACACAACTGTAATCCCAGCACTTGGGAGGTTGAAGCAGGAGGACAACAACTTTGACGCCAGCCTGGGTTATATATAGAGAGAGACCCTGTATCAAAAACTAAACCAAAACAAAACAATCCCAACACATAGTACCTGAATTCATTCCAAATCCACTCAACCAATATTTAATGTGAGCTTCTCTGTGCAAAGCAAAGCACTACCTATGGAGCAGGGTGGGGTAGAAGAGTAAACATCACAGGTTCACTTCTCTCTTTTTTCTTTCAGTGAAAAAATGTTTATTAGTAAAGGAATATGTTTTCAACAGACTGAAAGCAGGTTGGCTCTAGAGTGAGAGCAATGGGGTTAGGGAGAAAGAAATAGATACAATTCCTGTTCCCTACACAGAAAATAGGAGTAAAAACTGTGCAATGCTTACTCTCATTAGAGAGGCAGATAACATAGACATGCCATGCCATGGAGTGATTCCCCCCGCCTTTTTTTTTCTTCTGGCAGTACTAGAGTTTGAATTCAGGGCCTTGCACTTGCTAGGCAGTTGATATATCACTTGAGCACAGCCCCCCAACCCCCCCTTTTATTTTTCTGGTAGGGTTGCCCAGGGGTGGCCTCAGAAATTGATCTTTCTACCTTTGACTTCCCATGTAGTTGGGATCATGGGTGTGTACTACCACGCCCAGTTTATTGACTGAGATGGGGGTCCCACTAACTTTTTGACCAGGCTTGCTTGAAACATCATCCTCTTGATTTGCACCTCCCAAGCTGGTGGAATTAGAGGTGTGAGCCACCGTGCCTGGCTCTACTGATGATTTTTGAAGAACATGAACACAGGATAAGGAGACAGAAAAGGTGGTCAGGGAAGACCTTTCAGAGGAGGTAACATTTAAGCACTGAAGAAAGCAAGCCATCCCCTACTCTCAAGGTGGTAAGCAGTCTGGGCAGAGAAACAGTGGACAGACCCTGATATGCCAGTGAACTCAATGAGTCAGAATAATACAGGCAGCCAGCATGGTTGAAGGTCAGATCATGTAGCACAACTGTCCAACAGAACGTTCCATGATATGGCAATGCTCTTTATGGCAGCTTCTTCTCATGTGTGAGGACTGAGAACTTCAAATGTGGCTAGTGTGACTGACAATGGAACTTGTAATTTTGTTTACTTTAAGTTAATGAATTAAATTTAAACGTGGGGGTTGGGGCTGTAGCTCAGTGGCAGAGCATTTGCGTAGCATGTGCCAGGCCTGGGTTTTATCCCCAGTACTGACAAATAAATAAAGAGCTTTATGGCATATCAGACAGCACAGATAAAGAGACTTGTGGGCCCTGGCAAAGAGCTGTGAATTCATTTTGAATGAGATGGGAATCACTGGAGGGCTTTAAAGGGAGTGATGTGATGTGACTTGATTTAAAGGGTCATTAGTGCTGCTGTTTGAAAACAGTCTACTAAGTGTTTATGGGTTCTGCATATATTTTGATATATATATAATTTAAATGTATAACTTGTCATACACATAATTTATATGTAGATTTCAGTGGTTGAAATGTAATTCAAATGGAATAAATCTATAATTTTCAAACACCTACATTTTTCAACATTACCTGAATTGAGAATGTATCAGACCTGAGACATAAGTCTAGATTTCTTCCTGTATGACCATGAAATGATGGTAACATATCTGAAATATTATGAATTTAGTTCACTGTAGGATCAGACATTTCTTAACTGTACATATAATATAGTAGAAATGATTTTTGAATTTTAATTCTTAATGATACTGATTTGGTATTTTCTCATTACATTTTACTTCAATAAACTTAAAAAGGTAAATGTAACATACTAACCTTAATAAAAATAGATCTTAACTGAAGAGCCACTAGCTTCCTTGAAGGTAATGAGTATACTACAAAGACAAGAAAATGAAATCATATGACAGTTATAATGAAGGAGTCAGACAAATTAAAATTATTAATGATAAAATATAAAATATGAATAGCTTTTGCATCTAAATATTTTCAATAATTAAAATTATGGAACATATGCTGTTCTTTTTTGAGATGGGGTCTTACTATACTGCCAAGAGTGTCCTCAAACTTACAATTCTCCTGCCTCAGCCTCCTGAGATGTGTGCCACCATACCTAGCTCTAAAACATATGCAGTATGTCAACTGGTTAAAAAAGGACACTTAAAAAGTAACTTAAAATGTACCAGTGAGTCTTATTCTACATAATATACTCACCTCTAAAATGTTAACTGTAAAAAGTTATCAAAACTTCTTTCTTTTAGCTGGGCAGGGTAGTATACACATCTCTTAAAAAACTGTTTTTTTTCTGATTGTAATTGTAAAACCAGAGAATTATTCCCCTGGAAACTTCTGGTATTATGACAAAATTATTCTTAAGAAAGCTAAGCTCTTTAGTTTCTGATAGGCTTCCTTCTTCTCTTCAGAGGACAGCAACACTCATTGGGATTAATAGAAGAAATAGTAAAATGCAGGGAAATGTTAGCCATATAATAAAATCCCTGGAGTAGGTACATTGTATTCTTTAGGAGTTTTTGAAAAACTTGAAATAGTGCAAAATTTTCTGTGAGTTCCAAGCCTGCCTAGGTTGCATAAAATAAATAAATAATTCTACCTTGTGGTGGGGGAAAAATAACATGCTAAAGACGTACCTTCAGCATTTATACTGAGTTCTGTTGCATTTTCTTCTGTGGTTGCATATGGATTGTTTCCAACCATTGGAACCAGACAATCGGTATAGAAATAACCAATCTTAGACATATTCAGTGTAGAAATAATCAGATCTATTGCAAGCTGACCAACATTTCCAACAGATACTGCTGGCTGAAATAAAGGTACAATCAATGAGTCATCAAAACTAGCAGCATTTAAAAAAAGTTTAGATAGAAGACAATAATCATTGCAACAGTACTGAATGTTTACGCTCAGGTGCACAGCTAGATACTGACTCTTTCGTGCAGGAAAACAAACCAAAAAAAGTTTCTGCCCTATGGAGCTTTCATTCTAATGAGGGAGTTCACTTGTGATAAACAATATAAACAGTAAAGTACAGGGCTGTGGAGAAAAAGTGAATGTGAGCACGTGCATATATGGTTGGTTGCAATTTTAGATATGGTGATCAAGGAAAGACTCATTTCAGATGACAAATGACTAAAGAAGTAAAGGAGAGAGCCATACAGAGTCCTGGGCAAGGAATATTCCAGGCAGTGGGAAAGCAAGAGTAACAGCTGTGAGGTATGAATGAAAACAATCTTGGATCTTCCTTTAGTTTGCTTTGTTTAGTGTTTCTTTCTCTACCCACTCCCGGAGGTCAGAGTGACCTTTTCACATCATATCTCACACACACACACACACACACACACTCCCATGACTTCAAAGAGCCAAACTGCCAAATATCAACCTATACCCCACAATAATTTTCTGAACTCCAGCCTACTAGATATAGTCACATGATTATAACATAGGCAATTCACATTTGGTAAGTACAAAACTAAACTTTAGCCCCATCTTGTCCTCAAATTTGTATTTCATAAAAGGGCAACATTATTCACTCATTTGCTTAAGCCAGGAAATTTCCTCCTCTTCCCTTACCAACTACATCTAATAGATGACTTTTAACATATGTATCCCAGACTGGCCTCAAACTCATGATTCCCCTGCGTCAGCCATCCAAAGTATCTCTTCTTTTTTTAATTCTTTGGTACTGGGGATTGAACTCAGGGTCTCTAGGCAGGCACTCTATCACTTGAACCACATCCCTATTCCTTTTGTTTCTAGTTTTTTTGTTAGATAAGGTTTTGCACTAACTTTGCCTGGGCTAGCCTCTAAAAGTGATCCTCCTACCTTTGCCTCCCGAGTAGCTGGGATCACAGGCATTTGCCACCATAACTGGCTTGTTTTTGAGATAGGGACTCACTTTTGCCCAAGTGGCCTTGAACCAGGATACTCCTCTGTCTGCTTCCCAAGCAGCTGGAGTTATAGTTATGTCTCCAAACCCAACACCTCAAAGTATACCTATAATGAGCTCCTCCTTTGCATTTTTCCAGCAGTTGCCTTCTTTGGTGTTCAATTTCCTGAGTGTTCTCCCATCTCTCACTGGTCTCATCTACCAAAACCCTGATTACCTCTGAAGATTCGCTACTCATGTGCATCATCCCTCTTTCCTCCCCACTGAATTCCTCTCATCATCATGTAAATATGTTCTGGTATCATTCTAAAAAAAAAAACCCTCTTGACTCCATGTTTTTCCCTAGCTGCCAACTCATTTCTCATGCCCCTACATAACCAAAATTCTCCAACAGTTGTCTACCAAACATAAGCAGGAACTTTGTCTTTAAACAAATGAATATATATAGTCTCTACCTCCCCTTCTTCCATTTATTCAACCCACTCTAATAAGGCCTCCTCTGCCATTCCACTGGTACTTGTTTGCCCACGTGACCACCATTAACCTATATGTTGCTAAATCTAAATGGATGCTTGATTATGTGTTTGACATTTAATCAACAAGACAGTTCTTTTCACTCCAGGCTTCATAAAGCTTCAAATGGTGCACTCTCCAATAGTGACTTCTAGAGCCACAGGGTCTCTCACCTAGTTTCTCTCAATGTGCCATTCCAAATTCTTTTCCGTCTCCAGTTCCCCCATGCTCATGTGTCTTTTAGGTGCCCATCTTTCTGAAATGCTTCCCCACCATGCCCCATATTTTAGACATTAATTTCTCCAAGAAGCTTGTCTTAACAGTCCCTGGTGTCCCTCCTCCTGTGAATGACTTTCGGGCCTTTCTATATCCTTCTCACACTTCTTAGTATTTATTGCTCTTACTGACTTACATGCTTTTCCAACTGGTCTGCGCCTCTTCTAATATTTGCACGAGAAACAATGACTGCATATAGCAATTGTACGACTGCGCGTAAACTACAAGAAAAAATTACAAAAAATACTTTTCTTACTCTACCAGTAGTTTCCCTTCCGACAGTACCGTGCTAGCTTAAGCCTGACTCTATAAAACTCTTTGGAAACAGATTTCAAGGATAACATTTAGGGATGCCTCGCACGACGTATGTATAATGCATACGTAACATACAAACACTACGTCTTGCAGGCAACAAAGACAAAGGTTCTGTTTGGACCGCCGCCTCCGGTGACAACCACCCTGTCTGAAAACCAGAAACAGAAACAAGTGCTCTCCTTCTCTCAAGGCCAGGTGGAACTTCCTGGGCCAGGGTGGCGACAGCCCCAAGTTCAAGGGGAGACTCACCATCAAAAGGGTGAAGCCCGTGAGATCGGGGACCGAGTCCCCGCAGGGAACAAACATAGTCGCCGTGGGTGGGAGGAAAGGGCACCGGGAAAGCAGAGAACAGAAATAGGCAGAGTCCTCAAACCGCTTCCCTAGAGCTTGGCAACGTGGGCAGGGTCTTTCGAGTCCCTCGGCGCCGAGGTCCTGAGGACCGTCCAGCTGTCTGCCGGTGCACAGGGCGGAAAGAGACCTCTCGAGGCGCGGAAAGATGGAGCTCTAGTGTTGTCAGAGAGCTGAAAAGACAAGGCAAGCGAGTGCTCTGAGGTCTCGGGGTGCGGGGATCTCGAGAAGTTGGGGTCGGCGGGCGGAGATGATCAGGCAGCGCTGCGGACAGCCCCAAAGCCTGCTCGACTGGCGCCGTTTGAAAACAGTTGGCACTGCCGCCTCAGCAGCCTCCGTTCCCGCCCAGCCGCGCACTTTAAGTTGCGTCACGCTCCTCTGAGGCTGCGCGAGGCTCCGCGGAGCAGCTTTGGGCTCCTGCTGCGTCTGGGGCTGTGCGCGGTGCACGTCGCAGTTAGGGCGTCCGAGGCGGGGAGGCGCCGACCGCCAGCATGTCGCTGCCTCCGGAGAAAGCCTCGGAGCTGAAGCAGCTCATCCAGCAACAGTTGAGCAAGGTGAGCGGCGCGGAGCGAGGTAGGACGGCTGGGAACTTGGGCGTTTAGCGGCCGACTTGTGAAAGTCCGGTCGAATGTTAAGTAGTGCGTGGAGAGGTTGCAGTGGGAGGTGAGGGACCGGGGTGGGACGTGGGGGACCGTAGTTGAACTGGAGCTTCCAGCAGCGATTCTCTAAATACAACGGTATCTGCGAGTGTATTGACCTTACCGAGCAGCGAATGCATTAAGCTGAAGTAACAAAAGCCACTGCTTGTGGTGACTTGAGTGCCAGCTCGGTGTCTTTGTCTTGTCCCCATCCTATGCAGGAGCAGGCTCACGAGTTAGTCGAGGGTTGCACCGCCAGTAAGTTGAGTGCTGAAATTCACTTCCATTTGATCGTCTATTCTATACTTCCTCTCCAAAGATTTGTTTTCATCGACTGTTAGGTGGGGAGAGGGTAAGAAAGGTAGTCGGTAACCACAGAGATGATTTCTAGAGTTTTACTCAAAAGTGTCATCTTTTAGAAGCTTACCTTTGTTCTCAATTAGGTAACAATTGGACATTTTCTGTTAGTTCTAGAAGCCTAAAACTAGAGTTATTGCTCTGTAATGTTGTAAATGATGTGAGTTTTCTACATAGATGGATGTCCATGGCAAAATAAGGGAAATTCTGGCGGAGACGATACGGGAAGAATTGGCACCTGATCAACAACATTTATCAACAGAAGATTTGATCAAAGCCCTTAGACGTCGAGGAATTATTGACGATGTGATGAAAGAACTTAATTTTGTTACTGTGAGTAGTTACTGTGAGGAATCTTTTAAGGGAAAAAATAGGGTATAAATATTTGTGTATAACACTGTATAGGTTCTGTATTTGGGGCCTCTCCTTTTAGTAAAACCAAAATTCTCTTTCTGTCTAGTCCTTATTTCAAGTTTAAGTTTGCACTGCTTTTAAGTATGGCAAATGTCTTATGTATCAGGGAGTTTTGTACTATATTTCTCTCTGCAGTGACAGAATTTTCTCTTAACTTGCTACACCTGTAACTTTAAATATACATATTTTAGTCAAATTTCTTCAACATTTTAACAGTTATTTTTCCCTAAGATAGTTCTGTAATTTTTTAGGTTAAGCTTATTTTTAAAAATAAGTGCACATAAAATTATTTAAGAGAACAATTGATTACATAAGAGCCCTCAAATCTTTATCCAAATAGGTCAGGAGTTAGCTTCTCCATGCAGTTAGTAAGGAGGCCCTATTTTGAAAATGAGGCAATAATGAAAAACTGTGACCTCAATACCTGGGTCACACACTGTAAAAATAGGGTACTCTTCATAATACACCAGGGAATTAAGTATTTTAATTTTTTTGGATTTTGAGGTTTACAAAGCCATTTGTTATAAAAATTGACCTAATAACATCTTTTGCTGTGTGAATGTCACTTTATTAAGATAAGTGCCTGGTGGAATCTTTAGACAATGTTATGAAGTTTAGAGGAAGTTTAAATTTGTTCAAGGTATTAAGAATTAGCAATCTGTGATTGGCAAGACTTAGAGACAATTTAATTTCTTAGTATTAATTAGGCTTTAAGAGTGACCAGTTAACTGCCAGTGGCCCACACCTTTAATCCTAGTTATTTGGAAGGCTGAAATAGGGAGGATCGCAGTTCAAGGCTAGCCCAGGCAAATAGATCTGGGGTCAAGAGACCCCATCCCCAAAATAACCAGAGCAAATTGGACTGGAGATGTGACTCAAACGGTAAAGCACCTGCTTTGCAAGCATGAAGCCCTGAGTTCAAATTCCAGTTCCACGAAAAAAAGCAACCAGTTTTATTATCTTTTATGCAGGTATATATTTTCATTAAGCTAGGAAAATAAGGAGCTTTTTGTTTGTTTTGTTTTATTTTTTGAGACAGTCTTGCTATTTAGCCCAGGCTGACTTGAAACTTGCTATGTAGCCTGGAAGTTGCCATCCTCCAGCCTCCTCCTCCTCGAGAATGAGGACTTTTTGGAGGTGCCTTATCCTGTCTCCTTTTGGTTCAGTGCTGAGTTCCATGGTTAGCATTTTCCTAACTATAACTTTTGTTTTCTAATTGTTTTGATTTTGTCTTATCTCTCTAGGACAATGTTGATCAAGAACTTCCTTCCTCTCCAAAACAACCTGCTGGTTTTGATAAACAATCAACGTTAAAAAAAAGTATGTATTCTTTTAAACATTAATTTTGTTGTGCTTAGTGATGGATATTGACATGCTATAGTATAGTATTTGGTATTTGATAGAAAACATTTCAGTTTTTCTTTCCAAAATGAAATACTTAAATTTTTGCAGTTAGCCTGAAGCTTAGATTGTTTTGTATGGAGGACATCAGAAGAGTTCATATTAGCACAGTAGATGCAAAAACAGAAATACTGGTTTCTTATGTTTTAATAATATGTCTTAATACTTATGATTTATAAAAACTGTACAGCTTTTCCTTTTTAGTGGTAATATAATTATGTGACAGATACACATTTGCTAAGTTGATAAATGTCTTATTAGTTGGTTTGTGGAGATTAAGGAATGTTTTATAAGCAGCTAATAAACAAAGGTAAAGCTGCGCATGGTGGTTTTGTGATCCTGGCATTTGGGAGGCAGAGGCAGGAGGATCTTGAGTTTGAGGCCAGCCTAGAGGACTACTAGAGAGTTCCAGGCCTGCCTAGCCTGTAGCAAGACCCTGTCTCAAACAAACAAAAAATGCAAAGGTACACTGAACTCTGGCTGTGACTCCATTTCAGATGGTAGCCAGAATATGAACTCAGAGAACAATATCATATATGTAACTCTCCTTCCCAGAACAGTGCAGATGGTCTTGCCATGTAGTAAACTTGTTATTTTCCCTGTTTGAGTTTGGCTTTACTTCTGTCGAGTTATGTTTCCTAATGTGTTGATCATGTCTGTTAAGTTCCTCGAGGTTTCCTCATATGTACTGCTGCACTTTACAGCTACCATTGATCCGACACGGAGGTATCTTTACCTTCAGGTCTTGGGCGGAAGAGCTTTCTTGGAGCATCTGCAGGAGCCCGAGCCTTCACCAGGGCAAGTCTGCTCGACTTTTACCCTATGCTTGCATTACCGGAACCAGCGCTTTCGCTCTAAACCCGTTCCATGTGCCTGTGAACCAGACTTTCATGATGGCTTTCTGCTTGAAGTACACAGAGAAAACCTAGGCAAGCAATAATAGTCATCTGATTGAGAACATCTCTGTTAGACGTTATTGCAAAAAAATGGCTTTTGCTACAAAGAGAGTTTTAGTGGATGAATCTCTAGTCTTTTGTTTCATTCATTCCCCCTCCCCCACACACTGCTGTTTTGATTTAAATGACTTCTACCCAGTTTGCTTTATTCTGTGTTTGCTAATTAATTTTCCCTAAAGATTATGTTCTGACTATCTTAATTACTGATTCTTTGAAACACTTAAATACATAGTTCTATGCTAAGCAGTTCTGTAGTGGAGAAATGAGATATGATCCTTCTCTAAGTCAAAATTTAGATGTGTATTAGATGCATTTTATACATTTTAGTTGTCAACCTAGAACACAGAATCATAAACTGAGCAAAGTTGTGAATTACACCTTTGTAATTTAGATTTAAGATGGCTAATACACTCATAAACTATTTGGTTTTTTTCCCCTATAAAAATGTTAAGGGAATAATTTGCTAGATCCAAGGTACTAAATCTTTCGGTTTTGTATAAATAATACAGTGGTAACTTCTGGAGGTTGGAAAATAAAGGAAGTTTGAGGATTAATATTGGCATATTTGATTTTTTTTTTATTGTAGTAGCATATAAGTAGTTTTAAACAATAGATCTCTTATGGATCAGAAAGCACTGATTATGCTATAAATACGTAGGTAACCTGTCAGAATTCTGCTGGCCTCTCAAAAGTTAGTGGTAGAAATAGAACTGAACTTTTATTCCCTGGCCCAGACATGCTTTCTGACGTATCACCAGGTTATTTTACTTGGTTTTGTTTATAAGCCCATTACTTAGTATACTTTTATCGTCCCTTTCTGACTATGTAATGTGTTGTATTTTTTCTTTGGTTTGTGTTGTTAGGTGATGGAACTAGAATGGCTGATTCAACAACAATGTTATCAATAAGTGATCCAATTCATATGGTACTAATCAAAACAGACATATTTGGTGAGACTACTTTAGTAGCATCCTATTTTCTGGAATGGAGATCAGTTTTGGGCTCAGAAAATGGAATGTCCAGTCTGACTGTGGAACTTATGGGTGTAGGTATGATGATTAGTGTGTGTCACTGTTACCTTTTTATAAGCACAATTTTAAATGTACTTTATATTTTCAAAGTGGCTGTATAAGCCAAGAGAGAAAAATGTAAAATAGAGTTTCATTGGAATTCTTATAGCAGTTTTAGGGCATATCTTGAAGAATAATACAAGTGCAGTACTTCAGAATCATTCTGGCCTCATCTTAATTTTTTTTTTTTGAAAATGCTGATAGAAATGTAAATGTTTTTTTTTTTAATTTCTTTTTGCTTATTTGAATAAATATAAAGGTATAGAGAAAAATAAGATTTTTCTGAAACACACAATAATGTATGCAAAAAGCTTACTCTTTTCTTGCATACCCTGGAATATGGTGGTAAGTCTCTGTCACTACAGTGGTTCTTTTATTTGGTGGGGGGATTGTTGTTCTGGGGTTTTTGTTTTGTTTGATATATTGTCTGGCAATGTAACCCAATTGGCCTCTTGCCTCAGCCTCCTTGAATGCTGGAATTTCAGGTGTGCCCCATCATGCCTGCCTAGTCCCAGTGAAGAGTGTGGAGTAGGTGTTCTTCCAGCCTTTTAGGTGGACAGACTTAAAAGAGAGGTGATGACTTGCTTACTGTCAGCATCACTTAATAGGGCAACGATGGTATAGGCCTCATTTGTCATTCTCTCCTTGGAATCTTGCATACTAGCTACCATGTAATACATGTTACTAATAAAAAGAAGAACTAAAAACCCAAAACCTACCCATGTTTTTTGCATGACATAAAATGGAATTACTTTGTTACTGAAAGTTATTCACAGTTAGACCTATTAATCTTAAAATTAGGTAAATGCTCTTATAAAATTAAATAAAAATCTGATTTGGTTCTTTTTTTAACTTGAATATTAAAGATAATATTGAATTTTATTCTCATTCCATTTAAGTGGGAAAGTGCCGAACTCCTAAATTATTTGGTTAGACTTTGGCTGACTAAATATACACAGTATTAAATGTGCTGAAAGTCTAAATATTTATTTATATTTGTAGGCACAGAATCAAAAGTTTCTGTGGAAGATGTAAACTTGAAATGTACCCACCACTCAATCAAACATTATCTCAGGAAGTAGTGAACACAGGTAAGTAATTCTTTGTGTATTTGTTTTCATTGTGGCATATATTGATCCTAAAAAGTACTTACTACAAAAGTTCATTTATTACTTTTTAGATGAGTGCTCAAAGGTAAACAAGTGATGCAAAAAAAAGTAATGAAAGTATTTTTTTTCTAGGGAGTCTTGTAGTTTAGTTGGGAAATGCAATGAATATCTTTGAAACCAAACCAGAATTACAACATAAGAATTACAACACAAGATTACAAAGCTGGGGCTGGTAGAGGCCAGTGATAGTGTGCTTGCCTAGCATGTATAAGACCCTGGTTTAATTTCTAGAACTGGAGAGAGAAAAATTTTATGTTCATTGAGGTCCTGAGATCAGCATGTCATTTCCACCCCTTCCAGTTGGACTTACTGTCTCTGTTCTTGCTAGTCTCCAGCTTCAGATTAGATTGTCTGCTGCCTCATTGGAATAGCATTTGTGAATGATTCTCCTTGACTACATACTTTACTTCTGATTTTGTGCTTTTACTCATCTTGTTGCTTTTATAGTTCTGTAGTTATTGGTTTTATTTACTTTTATTTTTATTTTTTTTGGTGCTGGATCAAACCTTTCCTCATGCATGCTAGGCAAGTGTTCACCACTGAGCTACCCCAGCATTTTTCTTTCTCCCCTCTTTTCCCTCCTCTTCCATCCTCTTCTCTTCTCCTTCCTCTTTTGCTCAAGTAATTAGGGTAGGGAAAGGTCTGAATGTAAGACACAGCCAGTTATATTAAGATTGGCTCCCAAGCAAAACAGTGCCCTACCCTGTTTTCTGAAACACTTCTTCCTATTCTGAACTCTTCATCTACCTTTATTCTCTAGCATCTGAGATGATAATGATATATCACCTGAAGTCAGGTGGGAATTAACCTGATGCAGCTATAATAAATACATACATATGTAGTAAACATCTGTATATGTACAAAAATATATGTGGAGTTAGTTATATTTATAAATTTGTACAAATAAGTAAATCTTTGATTCTATTTTTGTCAGTAGTTACTTTTATTTATTAATTGACAAAGACATAATGTATTCTTTTTCTTTTCTTTTTTGGTGTTGGGGAATTAAATTTAGGTCTCAGAATACTATGCATATGCTTACGACCAGCATCATCATCCCTGAGGGTTCTACTTTTCAAACTTAGCATTTTTATAAACATTTTCTCTGTTACTGCTATTGTATTATCAGTTTTAACGACTGAAGCCACAAATTAATTCTCCTGTTTTCTGATATAAATTGTTTCTAATTCTGTAGTTTCTCTTTAGAATTAAGTCATTATTTTTAGTCAGAACTTTTATTGATCTTAACCTATTATTAAAAAGTGTTAGTACTTTTTCACATGCTGGGATATAGCAGTACAAGGCAGGCAGCTTGCTCTCAGGAGTTAGATTCTGGTGAGGAGCACACACATAAACTTGAGTCAGCAAACAAATGCTAGGTAGTGGAAGTTATGTTGGAAAATTATTACAGAGTGAAGTGTAGACTGGTTGCTGGAGGGTGGTTTAGTCAAGTGATTAGGGTAGGGAAATCTGGGTGGCAGAAACATAGCAGTCTTAGCAATGCTAAGATCGACCAGGACTTGCCAGGTATAACAGCCTAGAGCAAAGCATGTGTGGATGGGAGAGACACTGAGATAGTCAAGGTCAGCAGTTGTATACCAG